AAAAAAAAAAAAATTTGAAAAATTGAAAAAATGGGACGGCGGGTAATGCAAAACGAAAAATCAACTTTGCGTGGCCTTAGATGTAGTCAAAGCTATAAAAGCATTGACATTTCACCCTTGTAAACACCACTTTATATCCTACGGGATTCTGATATAACTAGTATATTACATTGAACAAATCACCTTGATAATATTGTTTAATATAAATTATTGTCAAATCACTATTGTCACGCCTCTGGCGAGTTGCCTTATCGCCTAAAATTATACATTTTCGTGTTCGTACATATCAAAGGATACAAATCACCCCGTAACATTTGGTGGTGACTGTGAGATATGAACTTCTCAATTTTAGTTCATAAGTCACCTGACGAATGAAACCTCATCTATTAAGGAAGTCTTACGATTAACGAAGTAATAGATCATAAAATTCGAAACTTATATGAAAGTTTTGAAAGTATGATCACCAAAGATGGTAGAATGTTTATGAGGAAATTATTCTACGGAAATTGCAAAGAAACAATTAAAGATAAGAACATTTATACTTTTAAACGGCGAAATGTTAATTTGTTTTACGAATAATTTGAGAAAGAGTTCATAATTAGACAAGCGATAATTATGATAATGGTTAATTAGAAAATCAAATACAGTAAAGTTTAAAGATATTATTGAATGGATAGTTTTTTAGTAAATTCGTAAATATAAAGTATCTTGCTAAAGGAGGCTTTGGTAATGTTTTAAGACAGTATGGATTGATGAATATACGATAGGGATTGATAATCAAAAGAATGCATGGAAACGAAACGCAGATAGAGGAAATAACGAAGAATCCAAAAGATGGCCGGTACATTATGGATAGACTATAGTGTAAACCAAAGAAGTTTTCGAAGTATATTAATGACGAATTAGATTGGGCTCCTAAAGTAGCTAACTTACATTACGTAGCTGGTGGACTTACTACAATCCACGAAACCAAATTAATGCATAAAAGATTACATTCCGGAAATATAGTTAAACAAAATACGTTTAATCCTTACATTATTTATTTTGGCTTATGTAAGCCAGAGTTACAAGATTTAAGTTCTAAAGTACTTTTTGGTGTGCTTCCTTATACTATACCAGAAGTAATGTATACGAATGGAAAGGAATACACTCAAAAATCGGATATTTACTCTTTCGGAATAATTATATCAGAAGTTCATCGGATATCATATATATCAGGATAGTCCACACAATGAATATCTAGCAACATGAGGTTACAGACCTAAGATTAATTGCAAAGTTTTTCTAGAATTAATAGATAATGGCTTAATAATACGCTTAAAAAGTATTACAAGTACACAGTGAACTAATTATGCAAAGAGATTAATTTATTTAAATGAAATTATATTATTATCAATTGATGAAAGGTTCTCTGCGTTTATAGTAGTCTGGTATCGGCGAGGCCGAATGCCAAAATAGGTACTGAGTAAAATTAAGACCTTGATAGTATAAATTCTATAACGAAAGAACTTGAGAACAGAAACGATACCCCAGTGTGATTTGTTGATAAGGGCGAAAGAAATAATTATAGATGATAGATTTCATATGCCCAAAAGTTATTTAATTAAGCCATTATTAACATCACATAGCAATTAGACAGTATAAGATTACTGGTCGCTCTAAGTGACGTTAGGTTGAAAATAACTATTTGGAAATGAGAGATAACTATAATATGTATAATTTACCCTTAATCATTGAATGTGCCAAGTGAGTATGAAATTTTCTATACTCGTTTAGATATCGATAACAGTGTGCTCTGTGACAAGCATTAAAGTTAAGAGTGGCCAGGTTGGCATAAAAGCCTTTTGCCAAGAACCTGCAGCACATGCGGTAGTGAAAGGCACTGCCGGGTGAGTGTTGAGACGTCACAAACTGATATTATGTTAAAAAAAAAATAATAATTTCACAAAGGGTGGCCAGGTTGGCCAGGTTGGCATAAAAGCCTTTTGCCAAGAACCTGCAGCACATGCGGTAGTGAAAGGCACTGCCGGGAGAGTGTTGAGACGTCACAGACTGATGCAAAAGGCCCGCATCGAGAAGTCTACGACATTGCGAATATCCAGGGTATATTCAGGTTCGTGTCGGCCTAAGTGTGAAAAGATCAATAAGAAATAAGAGTTTTTTTTGAATCTAAGGTTAAATGATAGTGAAATAGACAAATAGTCTATTGTCGTAGTCCACTCTGACTACGTGGGTTACTTCCGGTGAAACAAGGCAACTTACCACTTATTTTAACCAAAGTGGTTTCACGGGTTTTCTTAATATCACGATTTGTACTAAGCGAAAGGTAAACTTAACTTTATTTTCTCTTAACTACTTTATATACATTTGATTAGACTACATATTAATTACATAATATTGTCGTTACATGCACCCCTTTGACTTTACTTCATAATTAATGCATCATAACTAATCACACGACTATTTTAACTATTCTCATTACCTCATAATTGATCATACGTTTCTTTAAACTTCCCTTAATTACACATTATTCATGCGCATTGATCGATAATACTTAAATTCCGACTGACCCCGGGTCATGACTGACCCGTGATACAATCGAGCATACACGTGATCTCGAGATCACGTTTCCATACGCGAAACTCTCTAGACGCGACACATATCCTTTTATCTATTATATATATATATATTTCTTTTCTTTTAATCATTAATTTTCAACAACGATTATCCTCCAATGTTATGCCGCGCACAACATATGGCGAAGTCCATCTTTCATCGTGTAACCATTCTTGACCGTGACATCTATGGTTATTAAAATTTTAAAGACTTCGTAATGGGAAGCAATATCTAGTACGATTAATTATTCAAGATAAATTTAGTTCTCTTACCTGTAGTTATATTACAATAAGGATACGATACGTAAAAGAAGTTAAAACTGAACATGGATATGTACATGGATACACAGAAGTGAAAGTGTCTATGGATTAATTCAAATACAATTATAAATATAAATGAATATATGTTGGTATTTGATGAATTTAGTTCTAAAAGGAAATTATGAATATGCGAAAATGTGCAAAATTGCAACTAATCTAACACATCAAGAGCATGGTATCAAATATATGATTCTTAGAAAAGATCGGTGAACGAAATAAGAATGTCAATGATTGCATTAAAGAGTTTCAACTTAAAGCCAAATCTTATGAAGATGTAATCGAATGGATTCCTTTTAATAGATTAAATAATGTTCAAAGATCGCCGAAAGGGAATTTGGATCGATGTTTTCAGCAACATGGTTAGATGGAAATTTACAAAGCCGAATACATTTGTGGAGTTTTCATAGCGACAATATATTGTAGAATCAATATATCAATTAAGATATAAAATCTTATGTGATAGATCTAGAATGATGAATTTAACTTAGATAAATATAGCGTTTTACCTTACGTTGCTCCGGAAGTGTTAATGAATCAACCATATACAATCGCAGCAGATATTTATAGTTTTGGTGTTGTTATGACTGAAATGTCTACAGAAATACCACCTTATGATGTTGTGTATGATGAAGCGTTGGTTATTCAAATATGCAAAGGATTACATCATGAATTTGATGAAGGCACTTCCGATTAATATATCGCAAAGGTGATCTGAATAGAAGATACGATCAAATTAAATCATTATGAACCTGAAAAAAATCGATTAAATCAAGAATAAATCGATAGAAAGAGTAAATTAGTCAATGAAGATTAGACTTCGAATTAGATCACGTGAAACGAAATAGTGCCGATGCACTTGAATAAAATTTTCAAACCGGGACAGAAAATCTTAAAGAATTATTAACATAAACAATTAAGATTATTATGTCTAAATGAAGAAGATCGAAAAGATGATAATGAGAAATAATTTAAAGTTATTTTTTTTAGAAATTATTTCCGAATTCAAGAGAATACTTGACGATAAGAGATTTAAACTCTAACGCTAATATAAGATATGTTACATATACGAAGATCGAATTCAACCGAAATTTATTCACGAATTGAATAAATATTACGAACCTAATATCAATAATCCAGCAATTTGGAAATATTAAGTGGTATTTTGTTTAATATTGATATACTAAAATGGAAATTAGTAAATTTAAAGATAAGTTATTAATTATGTTATAAATTTAAAATGTATACAAAATATAATACCTTAAGTTTATTAAGACTTTATTAAATATATCATATTTTATTTAAACTATTACGATAAATAGTTTAAAGTTCGAATTTTAATCAATTCGATTATATGAGATATAATTCTGGAAGAATTATATAAAGCGAGGGAGTAATATATAAGGATTATATATATATATATATTTTGGGTTTAATTTAATTTTTCGCAATATTGTTAATAAGATCTTAAGAATTCGACTTGATAGTCAAATTAGAAGTTTAAATTTTAGATACAAATAAAAAGAAGATCTAGAAGTAATAAAGAAGAACTTCAAGATGAAAATTAGTAGTAGACAAAGATTATACCAGCAAAACAAAGAAAATTTATTAAGAAAATTTAAACAAAATATTTATATTACTGCATACTTCTACTACTTTCACCAACTTCATCATCTAACACCATTGGAAAACTACTACTATCCTCTTCACTTGCTGATATTTCTTCTAACATAGCCTTGTACTTTCTTAACTCCTCATCTAACCAAACTTCATAATTTTCTTTTTCTTCTTTTTTTATCTTCTTCTTCTTCTTCAAATTCTTCACCAAACTCTTCTATATCATACCTTTCCCTCATTTTCTGTCTCTCCCTACCTCTCTTTTTTCTTATATCTATTGTACCTAACATCTCAATCATATCGTTTCTTAACACATTATATCCTAGCTCAAATTTCCTCTTCACCGCATCTAACATCTTATACTTTTTCTGTTCATCTTTCAACATCCCTCTTAATACCTCCAATCTAAATTCTCCTAATTCTATTATTTCCTCCAATGTCTTTTCTAATCTTCTATTTTTTTCTTCCAACCACAACATCTTATTCTTTTCATTTTTCTTTGAAACCCACTTACTCCACCTATTAAATTAAATTATTTTAGTATTTTATTATATTAAATAATAGTATTTAAATTTTTATTATTATTTTTACTAGTTTTCTTCTACATCCTCCATATTTTCAGCATCTTCAACATCCTCAACTACTTCTCTTTGCTTATCCTTATCTACATTCTTACTATTATACTGTACGTAATATGTAAATTATATTAGTTATTATAATTAATTTATTTAATTATTATATTCTTACTTTTGATGGTTTGGGTAGCAATTGTTGTTTCTTTTTTGGCTATGAGGCATTTTAAAATTTTTAATGAAAATATTTTTTTTAAGTTTTAATTTTTAAATCAAAAATTATATTACTAAGATAATTAAACATTTAATTTAAAGTTTAGATTATATGAAGAAAAATTTTACAATTGGATAATCAAGCTACGCAAATTATATTTTTAAGAAGTCATTTTTCAAAATTTGGTAATCATTCAGATATAGACTACTGGTTAGGATATTCACTCTGGAAGCAGAGTAATCCAGGTTCAAAACCAGTGAGCGGAGCTATCCTTCTTAGAGTACTGATCTCATATGGGATATGTGATAGCCACTCAGGAAATAATATATCAGAATGAGAATTTTTTTTTACTTTATTTGTTTATTTATTATTTTATTATATTGTTATTATAATTTACTTATACAGTATATTTTTAGTTTAGATATTTATGCCTGGTATGCATAAAATAGGTCTGGGTGAATGTCATGGGCTAAAATATAGATTGACGAAATTAGGCATAGTAAACCTGTAATTGAGAAGCAATCAATTCAAGAAATACTAGTTTATCAGTTGAGGCTTATCAGCCAAAAAAGATAATGAAATCCAAAGATCAAGTACATATAGAAGAAAGAATAAAAATCAAAAAAAAAGATCTTGAAGAGAAGCGAAGCAAAGCCTTTTATTATTATAATCATGTTGTAAATTATTATTGTAAGCCCCTTACTTTAGATATAATTAAAGCTATAAAAGCATTGACATTTCACTCTTGTAAACACCACTTTATATCCTACGGGATTCTTATATAACTAGTATATTACATTGAACAAATCACCTTGATAATATTGTTTAATATAAATTATTGTCAAATCACTATTGTTATGCCTCTGGCAAGTTGCCTTATTATCTAAGATTATACATTTTTGTGTTCATACATATCAAAGGATACAAATCACCTTATAACACTAACTAAAAACTATACTATGACCCTCACCTTAACTCTACCTATTCTCAGATCTGTTTAGATTAGTTCAAATAATTATTTTTATATTAAATAATTTTATATTATTTATATATTTCCACTTATACTAAATATCAACTATAAAAGCATATGTTATTTTAAATTATTGCCTAAGATAAGCATAATTGTAACTAAAATATAAATATTAATAATAAACCTTAAAGTTGTGACTATTATTGATTTAATAACTTATCATAATCTTTTGTTTCAGTTTTTATACCTAGCCTAATTCATTTGCTGATATTGTTAGTTTTGTGGCTTTAAACCAACTAACATTCAATGAAATAGCCATAAGTATAAATAACCAATTTAGTTTGAAAGCCCATAGTAAACTTGTATATTTTATTCTGATATTAATAGTCTAACTCTTTGTCTATATACTATATGCTTACAGTTATAGTGCATCTAATATTTTTATATAGAAACAAAGATTCATTTCTGCCACTTGGCTGCTTAAAAGAAAGCTTTATATAGAACTATGAAGGTACAAATATATTACATACAGAGATAAGATAACTGAATCTCTTGTAAACAATATAAATTACTTCAATAGTGATAACTTGTTCTTGTTCTTTAGTCATCTTTATCTATTATTGTGTTGAAAGTATTATTATAATTAAAATTATTATATTTACTATTGAACTACCCATCTCTGAGAGTCTAATCACAACTTTATAATATTGTTATGGTTTTGTTTGATTTGTTTTAAAGTTAAACTTTAAAATAAATAAATTGTATATTACTTACTAGCATTATCTATATCACTTCTAATTAATGATAATAAGGTTAAACATATTAAATAAAAAAATCTAACCAAACTTTTAATATAATACAGGTTATTTTTGTTAATTCAAACTATTTGAATTAGACAATTATATTAATATATGCAAGGGTTGACAATAGTGAGATAGTTTTTATATAGACTGTGTCTATTTTTTCTTACTAAAGATTGATATTAATAGGAAGTTTAATATTAATGAGGTTGATATTAATGGGTCAACTATATATAATTTGACTCAATATATTAAGTACAAAATTTTCATCTAATTTATATAATAATACAATCAAACATTAAAAATTTTCTATATACTTAATATTCTTAAACATTCTTAGATATAAAAGAGTAAAAAAGAAAAAATGTATAACACTATTTTATATAAATAACCTGAATTATGTGATAATAATTTTTCTTAGATCAACCTGTAGTACAAATAACATGCTATTTTCTATTTTATTCAATAATAATACCTTTTTGGCTTCTACTATGTTATATAACATTTCTATCTAAAAAATTATAGAATAGAGTTAAGGGAGCTTGACTCATTTTGGCTTTTTATTAGCCATAAGTGTATAAGTATTGTGTATAAAACAGTTGTATCACAAATACTTGCTCTATTATTAGTAATTGTGAAACCAGCTTTTGAGAATACCCTTTCACTAAAAACATCTGAGAGTTTAATACTTAGAAAATTGTGCTATTTTGCTAAGTATTGAAAATCTTGGTGACAATAATTTCCAAAGTTTTATTTTATTATTTTCTAAATTTTCAAGAGATTCACCTTCATATAGTTCAATTTATATTTGACTATATTTATTTATTTTCACATTTTTGAAGTTCTTATAGGAAATAAGAAATTAGACATAGAATTATCATTGTTATTATCAATTTTAACATAATTTAAAAGACTTGCACTAGAATATTTTATTTTATATAAAAGAATTTTTGCAAATATCATTGACAAATATTTCTGTATTACTATCTTTATGTCTACCAATTTTAATAAATGTTGCTTTTAAGTGTTCAAATTTATATCTTGGATCAAGCATATGGGCAATTATGATATAATTGAGAATAGATTTCCAATATTTATAAAATTTTTTAATCATTGATTTATTATTAATATTATTATTTTTAAGTTTATTAATGTGCTGTCCAATTTTCAATATAACTATTAGTGTGTTAGAAATTAAATTCTACTGTTTTTTCAAAAGAACTAACATGGCAATTTCAAATGGTTTAAGAAGCTAACAGAAGAACTTGAAATCTATTAGGCTTTTATCATATAAGCAAATGGGTATTGATGGTTCTTTAGAACACATTTCTTGGATAGCTAAATACAGATAAAGATATCTTATAAATATCGCTAGTGTGAAGTTCCAATATGTATTAATTTTAAGAATAGGCTTCAAAAAATTTATTTCAGAAATTCTACAATATAATTCTAATACTTCTATTCTATTACTGGCAAGGGGATAAACTAAGTATTTCATAACTTTATATATAATATACTAATTTCTTTCAAACCCTCTTTAACGATAAAGTTAAGAATATAGCATATGCATCCTGAAAATTAATGTAAAAATTAATAACAAAAAAATTAAATTAAAAAGAAAAATATATATAATAATAATAACCTATTGAAATTAATTTTGTATTTGGCAACTCATTTTGGAGTAGTTGATTTACTGCTTTATTCATAGTAGTATTGATCATAGTAAGTGTGAATATTTTTTTTCAATTGAGTAATTTTTTAATGTGTTTATTATGATGTTATTTCTTTTGCTGTTTG